GGTTTATTTTATCTGGGTTCCTGGTTCCCTATAGAGGCAAACCCCTATAGTTAATTATATCTTAAATAACTGGGAGTCATTTAAGAAAACTCTCGATTAAGATCAGGTGGTTTTGTTTTCAAGATTTCAAAGTTTAGGTTTTCACGATTATACATGGGAAAATCAAATGGGAATGGTTCAAAATGTGAACAATTATTTAAGGAATCCAAATAGAAGAAAAGTAAGGGATATCACAGATTTGGGAAAAACCCCTGTGAACTCCCAACTATCCTAATATTCGGTTTTATGTCTTTGAAGTGGTGATTATTTGATATTTCAATTCTGCAAATTATTTAAGATTTAGGACTTATGTTTGCATAACGTCATACTGTGCAAATAGCCTAAAAGATAGGAGGATTTACACCGTACCATACGGTAACCTCGGAATCCTAAAACGTTAGGACTTATAATTACACAACAGAGTTGTGCAAAAAGCCTAAAGAAAAGATCCTATGAGTTGTTATTTAAACTAAAGATAAAAATAGGTGATGTAAATGTGTTCATGTGATGTGAAGATGTTTCGTTGCTGCAGATCCACCCAGAAATTGTTCTTCGTCGAGCTGCCCACGATGTTTGCTCCAAACTCCTCGTAGTAACACCTCCTGATTTAGTTTTAGTTTTTGAACATGCTCCTAACCACTGGTTATCCTAAACTAAGGCATAGTGTATCAAAGTAACTAAGCATGCTGTATGAAAGAAAAATAATAATGCACTGTATAGTAAAGAGAAAAGACTAACATGCTGAAAGAAGAGCATAACATGCTAGGGAAACAGTATAACAACAGTATAACAGACTATGATATAACAGACTATGAAAACAATACAACATGCTTTAAAATAAAATGATGTAATGTAAATTAAAACTGTATACCTGAGAGGTTCCTTGCTCCTTTAAGTTTAGCTAGTATGCGCTGTGTAAAAGAGGAAAGTATGACCTGAAAAAGGACTTAACAGAAACAGGTAAATCGTAGGAAAAAGATAAACAAGTAAATGAAACACAATATCACATATAAAGGACCAAAAATAGGAAATTTATATGTGATATTGGAATGTCCCCAATTGCAAGGAGGATTTGAATGTAGGACAAACTCAAATCCCGGAGCATTGGGTTTTAGTTTTGGTCAAGTTAAGGTAAGAATTTCATTATTTGATTTAATTAAATCAGTCATGAGTCACAATCTAGTGCCACCTCGTGCCTAGTGTCCCACCTATCTTCTAATCTGAGGTTAGATGTTTGGATTTCTTAGGGTCATTTGAAAATTAGGATGATAAACTATCTCTCAAGGTTGCTTCTGAAATTTAGGATGTCTGCACTTGGGTTAAACTTGAAGTGTCCTAAGGTATCTAATCTCAATTAAGTGTTTTTCCACTAATCCTCACACGTTTATAGATCCAGCTTAGCTTGCTACCAAACTCCTAAAACCTAGGGGAAAACTCATAGTTTTGGCAAAAAGAGTTGTGAGTTGTGCTTCAATCCTAGTTAAAAGAATTGGATTTTAAATTGATTCAAAGCTTAAGGATCTAAGAGTAAGTTCATTAATCTCTCAATCGTTATCTAAATTCTCATTTATTCCGATTTCAACTAGTCTTCCAATTTGCAATTTATTTTTCTTTATGTAAAATAAAA